TATTCTAGTAACTACTCTAGTTACTTTTCGAAAAACTTTTTCTGTTTTCTTTTTCTGTTTTCTTTTTCAATTTATTAGCCAGTATAGCATAAAAAAAAAGTATCAACGAAAAACTATGAAGTATACTTTTAATAAAACGTAATATTAATCGTAAAATATTTTGTTGTTTGACAAGAAATAATTCGGATTAGTTTAATACAAAGATGAATTTTTTCGCAGAATTTCTTACAAATTTATTATACAATTTGTTAAGTGAAAAATTCATATTGTATTTATAATTTATATTGTATTAGTAATAGAAATAAGTATAAAAACGTAATGACGTCAAATAAATGATATAAAAATAGACACATTTGATATTTAATAACGAATGATTGATTAATTAAAGAAAAACTTACGTCTACGGTAGTCAACGATGCGAGAAATGAATTAAGTGTTTTACTGACAGGTGCATCGTTCCAAGAATAAGGTGTTATGTATTGTCCTATCCATTGATAAATTAATTCATATGCGGTATTCCAAATCAATGAGCTTCTTAATTCGCTTTCTCTAAAATAAAACAAAACAAAAACAAAAAAACACACACAAATAAAAATTATTAAATCAATATATATAATATTGTATTGTATTAGTATTAAAAAAAACATGTATTAGTATTAGAAAAAAAAAAGAGTAAATGAAGTTAATGTGAATAAAAAAATAATTTACTTGAAAAACATGAGACCCCAACTGTCAGATGCTTTGACAGCATTGAACATAGGTATGGCCATTATGTCGAGTTTGTTTAAACCTATGGAACAATTGAAATAATTTTGCAAATAGTTCATAATACGAACTACTTTGTCCGGTACGTCTTTCAATGTTTCTAAATAATCTTTTCTAGCCCATATTTTAATATCGAGTTTAGATCCATTGATCTCGTCAATTTCTAAGTTAGGTACGATATTATCAAAATCTGACACGACAAGTGCTAGCTGATAGGTTGATATTTCGGGTGTTTCAACGAAATGACTCCAAATCGTATCAGGTTCTTCGGGTCTTAAAAAAAAAACATAATATATAATTTTAATATATATATAAATGATTATAATATTAATTTAATAATTAAATTATATATTAATAATAATAATGAAGATAATATTAATATTTTACGATCTCAATAAGGGATAATATTTTGAAAGTGTTCTTATTTCATTTCAACCCTTTCATTGTTGAATACTTTTAACTGAAATATGTTTTGCAGGAATGGAATAGTTTATTGTATAATTGCGAAAATTTTCATTGGTTGATATTATTTACTAGATTTTAATAATAAATTATATTTAATAATTTCTTACATTTTATAATTTTCACGTGACAAGATTCAAAACAATTATTTCACATTAATATTGTAAACAAAAAATACGTAATATATATATATATATATGCGTTGATAAATTACTCTGGTAATTTTTATCAAGCGCATATATGCGTCCGTAAAAAATCAAAGGGTTAAATATTCGTTTCTTTTTGTTTTATTGTTATTGTAGTTGACTGTAATAACATTTACAACTCGAAATTAATTGTCGTCAACAAAAAAAGAAATAAAACGTCTCGATTATTATAACATATTAAATTATAATAATATTTATACATATATATACATATATATATACTTACATACTCGTAATTCTTTCCAATTGCGTATTAGACGTGGGATTGAGATTTTTCGGGTGTTTAACGCTCAGTTTAAATTTAGCCTTGTATTGTGGATCGACCAAGCATGGAAACATTTCTTGAGCATGATTCATACGTAGATAAGTTGCGACAAATTGGCTAGAAAAGGAAGAAAAATGAAAGAAAAAGAAAATGAATGCAAAGAACAAGGTGTAGATCCGCAGTAGGTGGGGACGGAGGAAAGGGGGGGGCAAAGTGGAGGTAGAGGAGGGGAGCTTGTAGGAAAATTATTCGCATAAAGACGACAATTTCAAATGAAAACTGTCGTTGAAATCATTCGTACGATTAAGGTTGAATAATTTGATGAAATGAGTTAGTTAACTAGCAAATGGAATGAGATAATGCAAATCTAATGAATTATTTACTGCGTTTTTCCATCGGAGTCGACGTATTCGTTCGTGAACAAGCCGGAAGTTTTATTGGTCGTTAGATTACCGATATAATTGATATCCAATTCAATTCTGTCGCCTATTTTCAATATTTGTTCCAAGTGTATGATTAGCCAAAATTTTTTCAACGTTGGCAATTCAATTTTGGCGACGTTTAATTCCATTGGAATTGGACCATCCTCGACCCTTTATTAGTATTATTGTTATTATTATTATTATTAGGTGTATTAAATGGGTGAAACGTTAACGAATTGCAATCCGTTGTAAGATAATTGTTTTTGTTAATTATTGGATTGGCAATTAACCCTGGCGTTATATTTTAACAAATTTTTAATAAAATAATATAAATATATTATATATAACATGTACTTATATTATATACAAACAATATTATATATATAACAATGTAATTTAAATATTATTTGAATAAATATTAAAATATAAATTATATCGGATATAGAAAAAATAAAAATCAAATAATAGATTTCGTTAGAACAAATGAATGATTTTCAAAAATATTTGAAAAACAAAAATAATTAAAATTTAATAAAAAATGATAGGAACTTAATTGGCAATATATATAAATGTGTTTTTTTGTATTTGTTTTATGTTAGAGCTTACGTTTTTTCCGATCCCAATTCTCTGACTTTCACGTCATTGGATATTTGAAGATCCGGATGAGCATTGACAGTTATTCTATCTAGTGTATCCATACAGGTTAAATTTATCTTAACCTGACCCTTGAACGTACCTTTATCGATAAACGGTTCGATTTTCAAATGATAACTACTAGGAATAACTTTTTCCGGCAATTTGTTCTGATGTCCGGTGTAATGGTATATGTCATTTAAATCGATACTCCGTTTTACCTTGTAACTATCCTAATTTCATATATAGAAATAAATTTTT